AAATCGATGGTTAGCTGCGTTGGTTAGCCTGTCCTGTCTCACCAAGACAAAGCAAGATTGTCCATAAACTCGAATCGTTTATATAGGTTAGGCTTTAAACGCCGGGTGGCAGAAGCCTCAGCAAATCGTAACAACTTGGGGTTGCCCTATCTGTTGATAACCTTGAATGCTTCGTGGGGATTCTGGCACATCGAGCAGACGAAAAAGTGCCGGACAACAGAGCTAGCAGGTAATGTTACGCCACGGAGAGCAAGGTTCGCGGGATGTGTTCTGAAATCCGAGTGACATTTTTACCCATTGTATGCAAGCGGCTGAAGAGAATACACGAAATATACTGAATTCAGAATATTCCGCAGAAATATTCGTTGTGCTTGCTGTTAAGATTCCATTTGTGTTAAGGGCTGGAAAAGACACAGTCTTGCTTGTGTTGATGGTGAGCCCGAAGTTGGACGCTGTCGGAACCAGAGCCGTAGTCATGTGCTGCAACCCATCCGCGCTGTGTGTAACAAGGTACAGTCCTCAGCGTACAGTAACATACGGATGGTTGTCGCACACACTAGGGTTCTCACCTCGAAATGACGGATGTTCAGCAACCCATTATCAATACAGTGCTTTACATGGACACCGTAATCAAAAGCAATAGATGAACAAGATATCATAGCATTTAAGTAAATGTTAAACAGGGCAGGGGCTAAGACACAGCTTTGTTTCACATAAGAGACAAATAGCGAGAACAATAGCTGGTTTCGCTCTCGGCACTTCACCTTCAGTTGACGAGCCGCGAACACCATAACCATGGTGCTGCAGCCCGAACGAAATCCGCATTGCTTTTCCGCCATGTTCCGTTCCACGGCCTGAGTGACGAGGCCGTTGAGCAGGATGTGTGTGAGCATATTCCCCGTAGAACTCAGTAAGCTGATGGCACGATAATTCATGGCACATTACTTTCTTCCTTTGCTCTTGTACAGTTGTTTCACATGGACATTCTTCAAGTCAGCTGGCACCTCTTCTTCAAACCATACGCGTTGCACCAAACGGTGTAGCGCATGTATCAACACGGGCCTGCTGTGTTTCAACACTTTTGCGGTATTCCGTCAGCCCCAGCGCGCTTGCCGTTTCGCAACTGAGTAAGTGCTCTATGCATCTCATCCAGTGTCGGTGTATCGGAAAGACACATCTTCATCTCTTGTTGTTGAAACCCGTGCAACATATCCTATCCAAGCTCTGAACGGTTGTTCATGAAATAATCGAAGTGCTTTCGCCAGATCTGCATTACACCTACAATCTGTGTAGTATGTGTAGTATCCACCAGTATCCAGAGCGGTTACAACATGGACTAATACACGGCCTTTAAAGAGTTAAGACAGAGAGAAGACAGAGGTTGCGATATGTCAACATTTCGATTGTTCTCATCAGTCGCAAACACAATACGATCAGAAACACATAAGGGATTATATACATGGAAAAAGGGGCACCACCAATCAAAATGTCACAGTCAAGACCATGGCAACCGAATTGATTGCCTCAAGAGTTTCTGTGCACATAGCACAGGTTGATAAGCCTTAATTAACAACGCCTCACTAATTGCTAGCATTATCGGGTTTTTGTTACGTAATAACACTTTGAACGCTGTCTCGGGGTTCACGTGATGACGGGTTGTCATGAGGTGCTTGGTGATAGACGATGCAGGGCTCCGATTGATTCTCAGATTCGTCATATTGTTGCGTAATCACTTGTCTCAACCACTTTGGCAAGTGTTCAGCTACCTTCTGAGCTAACTGACGGTTTGTTCTGCCTATGTAAATGTCACCACAACCGCAGGTGAACTGATAAACAACGTGAGGCCGAACTAACCGACGAGATGCTCTGACGGGTATGAAGAACAAGTGCTCGCGTGCTATGCCTGAGTCGCAACTGGGCTGTCGTGTAGGTTCGCGTTAGGACGGACCGGAGCTTTCGTCCGATGTCATTTGCCGTTCTAGGGGGACCATGTGGTCTTGACTGTGACGTTTTGATCGGTGGTGCCCCTTTTTCCATGTATATAATCCCTTATGTGTTTCTGATCGTATTGTGTTTGCGACTGATGAGAACAATCGAAATGTTGACATATCGCAACCTCTGTCTTCTCTCTGCCTTAACGAAATGGCTAAAGGGGACCCACTGTTTTACTTTAAAGAGTCAAAGAATGCGTTATGTTGACGGCGTTCAGGATAGGATTCCATCTGTATTCGGCTTCTCCGCCCACCATGAATTCCTGATACGATGGAGCGCAGCGAATGCTGCACTCTTCGCTGACACTAATGCCCAGTAGTCGCAGTTGTCATCAAACAGATCGGGGCGCTCGCACTTTATGAGCCGGATCGTTTCCTCGGCCGCAGCCGTCATCTGTTCAAAGATGTGGTGCCAGATGTCGCTGATTGAAGCGAAAAATTCGACATACATAAATATACACACATTGAATCAGTATGTTACTGGTAAAGATGAAAGATTATTGCACATTTACCGATCCTTCGTGTTCGTATCACCGTTATCATGTCTGTGCAGGCGTGCCTCACAGTACCTGGAGTAAAGTATTCATCTAAACGTGCCCGCCTCAACAAGTGAGCACCGGTTATACTAACCCGCGGTGGTAAAGGGGACAACATGCCCGCTGGCTGTGTGTAGCTCGGCCCAGCATAAGTCGCTGAAGACAACGAGCGAATGAGTGATGAATTTGTTCGAATCACCTGTTGTGTGAATGGGCTGCAACACGTAATCACAGCCTGGACCGCAATTTAGCCGGTCAGTTCAGTCACTGGAACGCGACAGCTCCCAAACGTGTCAAGTTGCACTGGAAAAATTAGTATTGGCTGTCAGTCGTTTTGGGCTATGTTTTGCACCCTCGAAATGTAAAGTCCTTCTCCAAGATTGGCAGGGACCCATCTCGGCGCAGACCTTTTGTGGGGAGCAGCTTGCAATGGTCCAGACATTCAAGTATGTAGGCAGCTATATTAGCGCTAATGGAATGGAAGATGAGAACACAAACCGCATAGTATAAGTCCGAAGCACTTTGCCAATCTCCGCCACCTGTGGCGTCAGCGCGACATCATTCTCGCCCTGAAGAGCGGTTTACAATGCAGGCGTCCGCTCAATCCTAACGTACGGATGTGAAATGTGGCCTATCGGATCGACAGACATAAAGTGGCTAGTTACGGTCCATCATCGCTGACTTCGCAGCATAGCTCACGACTGGTGGGAGCACTACATGAGCAATGAGTGTGTTCGGCGTCGTTAATTCTGTGCAGGAAGAGCGAGCGAATCGCTCAGCACCGTTATTTCACGCATCAGGCTCCGATGGCTGGGCCACGTGTAGCGCATGACAGCACACCGATTCCCGCTTTGCGCGTTGTTTGCGTGCCGGGTTGTGGATGGAAGAGGAGTGGTGCCCTAGCGATGACTTGGTCCAGAGGAATGAAGTCACACACTACAAATTTGACGTCCAGACTGCCAGGATGGGTCCGAAAGACGATGAACACGTTTGGTGGCATAAACTAGTTGACATGGCAAGGAGCCGATCTTAGTGGCGTTTGTGTTGTGTTTCTTTGTCCCTCCCTTTCCCGCTTATCTTATCCCCTGCCTCTTGAGGCATAATCTGTTACAAAGCAGTGTGTCGTCTGTATTTTCGCATTCTATAATTTTCAATGTCTTGCTTTAGCGTATGGTCTTATCTATATGTATTGCGGCGCAACAGTTGGTGTGCTTCTCACCGTCAGCTAATGTGTAATAAGGATGGTGACAACATTGGTAATCTGCCATCATTCTTTGAACCTGTGACTAGCATTACCTGAAGAGCATAAGTGAGGAAGTGGCTGTGGAGTACAATGCCAGGGTTATCATTCAGCATTTGTAGGCAGATGACCAAGTTACGGAAGCAGTACCAAAGAATGAGCAATTGAAAATATACCGCACCATAAATAGTACTTGCAGTAAGCATATTTCTGTCTGCACTCCGAGGTGGAACCCTTTTTGGCGTCATAGGAGAGTAGACGCCAGCTATCTCAATGACCGTTCTCTGCCTTACCTTCACTAACGAATCGAATGTAATTCCAGTCGTCGTAGAGCGGTCACCAGCAGACCGATTAAAGAAACCATACAACCGCAGAATCTCAAATGATTTCTCGCCGTTGAGTCTCTACACGTTCAGGAGAGTGCGCAATAAAGGGCAGTCAGTTCACCCAGCTTGGCAGTCAGATTTCGGCGATCAACGTGGGAATCGGGGTTCCTCTCATAGCATCTCTGATGTAACACTGCTGACTTTCTGTGCTTATGAAACATAAGATCAGCCTGACATTCATCAGTCTAACTATGCATCAGAATTACCAAATAATAATGAACTCGTAACAGGGACTTCAATCTCTTAACGGTAAATAAGGAGCTGCACTCGATGAAAGAGATAAATAACCATCACATAGCTTTGCAGAAACTTGTTATCCAAACGGATGTCGAGTGGTCGCGCTTCAGTACTCCCATAACCCTTGGAAGGTAGCTGGACTGTGCTCTGATTGAATCAAAGTGACCAGCTCGGCGAAAACTGCTGCAACCAAACACCCAATCCTAAATGTCAGTAATGAATAATAATAATGTGTCAGCTGTATGCCATAACGGCGCTTCGCTGCCATGCGACCAACACCAGACGCACGCGGGCAGAGTATACCGCCCACCCCTACGTGAATTCGAACCCGCGCAACAAGATTACGGAACAATCTCGTTACCTCTAGGCTACGGGCCGACTCCTAAATGTCAGCATTTCGCCTGATCTCCGATGTATCATAGTTTAACTATCGGGTACAAAAAAGGATCCCAGGATAAGGTGGTACTTGGAAGCAGCATAAATGACAAACACGGCTCATTCACAATAAAGATGGCTAATAATTGCATGAAGCCAGAAACATGAGTGTCTATCAAAAGTAGAGCGGTACCCTAGGCAAAAGGGGATTGTGTAACAAAGAAAGGTGACTTACCATGTTTAAGTTGAGAAGACAATTGGAGAACATCGTCCTTTGTGTTCAGGAACTTGTTGATGTGACCCGATGCCTATCAACGCAAGAGTTGGTTTAAAGCTAGTTGCGCACGTGCCTCTTCATACCGCTCTTCGCTTAGCGCTTTTTCCGCCTCGGCTGCACAGTGTTTCAGATCGATGATATCGTTCAATTTGGAAACACAATCTAAGACTCGGTTCTGAAAGGAAGATTGTGAGCAACAATGGTGAGTCTAACTTTGACCAAATCCAGTTGTCGGATTTTGCTACTCAATTCCGAAGCAAGTTCTGAAGCTAAGTTGATCATACTCGATAGACTCCGAGCGTTTGATTCAACTGCACTAAAATCTGGACTGAAGTACAAATATGAGACAAAATCTTGAAAAACCAACAGGGAACAGCTAAGTTCCGCTAGCCTCTTGTCAATGTCCGTTCTTTTGGCTACAATATCTTTGATAGACTCCTCCACGGAAGCCTACCATCAAAAAGCGGACTATGCGGCGCGGGAGAAACGAACATACCTCATCCATACACAGTTGGCTGGCAGCCTGAGAAACTTCCGAAAGATCGGAAAGACTTTCAACGTCAACATTCATTGAATACTATAAAAAATAGATTTCAGAAGATGAAAGTGAAAAAAGTGGTGGATGGCATACGATAAAATAAAATACGGACCATCGGAGTCCTTGTGATCGGTGGCTTAGGGACTCATAAATCGCACAAAGTAGACAAGTCTTGTAGTTACAGAATAGAATAAATATAAAAGCGTAGTTAGTAAACGGACGGATGCAAAAAGGTAATGTAGCGGATACTATACAGACGGAAAATGCGATAAAGACGAATCAGAACAATCTGTAAATGATGAAAATTATGAAAACGCTTAGTCATCGTAAATATTGTATTGCGGAAAACAGCGTTCAAGGAATAGTGGTATTAAGCTACTAACCAGGCAGTATGAATAAAAAACAGTTCGGGGTGAATGGAAAAAAAACAAAGATATGAGTATTCATACAACTCGCTTCACGTCGAACATGCCAATTCAGCGGCCGTATTGTGGATATGAGCGAATTCGTCAAAAATCAAGTTTCAATTGAGAAATAACTCCCGAAGAGGACATCAGTAACAGAAAGTAGCGAATAACGTTGTTTTCAGGACTTCATCATCAGGCTAATATAATCACAATAAAGCAAGCTAGAATAGAAAAATGGGTTTAAATTCGGTCATTGAAGCAGAGTAACTAATCGATAAGCCTACGTGATTGGTCCGGTTGAGGCGAAGTCAGATGAAGTGGCGTGACTGCCATTGTTAGTCCCGTTGGTCTGAGGCCAAGGTAGGGTTAAAGTATGGACGAGTTTTTTCTGTGTACATAGGCCCGGGTTATAGAGCCGAATTGCGATCGCCTTTGCTGCCGACAGCAGGCGACATCTGACTGCCCGTGTGTAAAGCTCGGGGACACAGTAGATCGTTGTGAATGCGTGATGCGAACTGATTTGATGGTCGGAGTCTAGCTGCAGGTCTGGAACACTAACGCAACACTATGCATCTAAGGGTTAAGAAAATCAGTGTGGAGCGCAGGAAAAGATCTGAACGGAGCGACCGTCTAACGATAAGGGATCGAAGGATTATCGGACCGCTGCATTCGCAGACGACGGACAAATAGTTTAATAGCTGTACGTCAGATCAGATCAGGTCATGATAGAAAGACGACACAGGCTTCCGCCTAATGAGCGTTCAGTTTATTGTACCAGTAAGCGAAAAAGAGCCCCCGGCACTTCGACTTTTGATCGCATCCTCTTGCTGCTGCAAAAAAATGAATCAAGCAGAATAACAATCCTCACATTTTCATGGATCAACTTGGAGTATCAATGCTACTACATTTGGGTCAGATTACATGAATCCTGGAAAAAGATATGGCCAGCATTTATCAAAACCTACTTTGAAGGCTGCTACAGTTTCGCAGCCCACTAACTCAGAAGGTAACTTATTCCAGCTGCGAACCACACGGTTCGTGAAAAACTGCCCTGATGTCCAATCTAGCCCTCTGTTGCTTGAGCTTCAAACGATGCCCACGCAAATGATCAGAAGTAGCTACCTCAAACAAATCAGTAGGCTGCTTAATGGCAATGAGGTCTTTCATGATCTTAAACCTTTCTATCAGATCGCCTCTGTCTACGCCGCTCCAGGGAAAACAACTCCAACCTCTTTATACGATCTTTATACGACTTTCTATGTTGGCCTTCAACCATCCTGGTTGCCAGTTTTTGAATCTTTTCAATGAAAACATCCCCACGGAAATAAGGCGACCAAGATGTGGCTTAACTACTGCTTTGTATAATGGCAAGATAACGTTTGGCTTGGTGTTACACAGTGCCCTCCTGAGGCGAAACAGTTCCTGTCGCGATTAGTTGGTAACATATCGACATTGCGCCGGAGGCCTAAAACTGCTCGCCATGACGACTCCTAAATCACGTGCCTGGTTGGTACACCGTAAAGAGGAAGACCCAGAGGAAGTTTGTACCACAATCCCGTCTCTACTAGTGGTCAATAGTCAGCATTTAAAGATAAATCCCATGGCTTCGACCAATTAATCACTTTGATGATATCTTTGTTCAGTGTTGATCGGTTGCCCTTGCTGACCAGTTTTAAATCATCTGCAAAAATATAGCAGGGGGCTTCAAGAAGAGGGGCCAAGTCGTTTACAAACATAAGAAACAATAGTGGACCTAGTATCAATCTTTGGGGAACGCCACTGCAGGCCATGCCCATAAGAGAATCCACATCCCCGATTCTAACTCGAAACGTTCGCCCATCTAGGAATTATGACACCCAAGACAGAAGTTTCGAATGAATTTCAAAACGTCAATTTCTCAAATAAGAAACGGTGATTTACTGAGTCGGAAGTCTTACTAAAGTCCACCGGAATCCCGTCATCAAGACAATGAGTGATCTCATCTGGAAAGCAAAGCAGGTTAGTGAGACAAGACTTCTGTTAATGAAACCATGCTGTTCTGCCAAGTGCTTACAATCCGATTTTTCTAAGCGCTTGAGCAGGGCACAGATTAAGCAGACACGTCTATAGTTAAGAGGCTCCGATTTAGTGCCCCCTTCTGGATCGCGACTATGGTTGCTTCCTTGCAATCTCGTGGTAACTTGCATTCCTGGAGCGATAAGTTGAATAGTTTCATAACAGGATGCTGAAGAATGCGAACTAGTGGCCTGAGTATTGTTGCATGTACATTATCAGGACCGACTGATGTGAAGGGGTTCAAGATAGCCATCACGGTAAAGACCTCTTGAGTAGTCAGAATCATGTCTTGCATTGTATGTCTGCTTACAGTGTGGCTGCGATGATGCAACACATCCACTATCCCTTCTATGCAGATTCTAATAGATCCGTAGCAGCACTTCCACTTTATCCCCGGCTTTTGTAGCTTGGCTGCCATGTTTCATGGTTAGACAACTAAATTCCACTCTTAGTGAGGCTCTAGATTGGACATAGTGATAAATATGTAGATTTCTCGACTGTGCAAATACAGTGCAAAACTTGGACTGATCTCAAAGGGCACATATTTCATATTTACCAAAAGAGTTAAAAATCAGGTATATAAGGAGTTCAGTTGGTATAAATGGTAAAAAGGAGTTTAAAAGCAAGATGAAAATAGTTATTGAAAAAATCGCAATAGAATTAATACGGGTATCCGTGGAAGCGACTACGGGGAACCTGCTTCCATGCGGGGTATACCCTCGAAAGGTTTCATCCGCAGTTCCATGTCTTTGTGTCGGTGTGGTATAACAGCAAGGGAGCCAACACCATACTAGTTCCTTTTTTATGGCCATTCCTACAGATAATGAGAAATAGGCTCGCAAAGATAAGTGAACTCTCATGTTTTTCGTTTTTTAATACTCTTTTAGGCCATTCAGCCCAATTTCAAGTTTGAAAAGTTTGACCCTCGATTAGTGTATGTCAATTCGCCTTGATTAGGCATTTCTTTCTCACCGTAATGTCTGACAATTCGTCACAGGTGGGTGTATTAAACAATCCGGAAGCTTCATTCCATCGTCTCAGGAGATCGGACCAGTCGTAGTCAACAGTGGCAAAAGCAAGTATAGGTGGCAAAATACAAATAATGATAAATGAGTGATATATAGCCGACAAGTTCTGCTTCAGAGTGTAAATAGGGAATACATAGAAAAAGTAAAGGTAATAGAAAAGGGTCTATGAACAATTTTGAGATAGAAAAAGCAATTCCAGACAATTGTAATGGAGTAATTGGTGTGGAAAGTGGACAGAGAAACAAGAACTGCCACAGATATATATATATATATATATATATATATATATATATTCATAGTCAGTTAACAGACATTGTGCCATCAGAAGCACGGCACAAGAAAAAGTGAAGATCGAAATACGAACTGCGATTAAAAAAATGGAAAACGAGCTTTTTGCCTTCACACACGCAATTTTGATTTTGTTTTGTTTTGTTTTGTGTGATTTTGCACGTATTAAAAGGCGGATAAAATGACAGAACAACAATGACGCCACTGATGTCTGTTGCGGGCCATGACATCCAATGTTTCCAACCACTGAGATTCAGAATCTCGTGGTCCCCAACCTGGTAGACGGACTGGTCCGACTGCCGCCAAACTTGAAGTTGCCTTCTTTATGCTTCTTCTCCACGTCATTGGCTGTCCACCGCAGCACTTTTTCCAATCGCTCCCCGGGAGTGCAAATAGCCCTCGACGTGGAAGGGGATGGACTGGCGTGCGCAAAACATGCCCGAGCCAAGGCATGCGATGTCGGAGAACAACGTACTGAAGACTGGCACTATTCGCTCTAAGCACTCGGCCTCGCACCTCTGCGTTGCTTAAGTGGTGTTACCACCACACCTGAGCAATCCTACGTATACAGCGACTGTCGAAGACTGACAGCCGCTTCATGTCTTCCGAGCGAATAGGCCGTCTCACAGCCGTACAAGAGTACTGCACGGACGGAAGCATTGTACACTCTGCCCTTGAGCTTGAGACTGACATCAGGACGACGCCATTGGTGTCTCGATTTAATGAATACAAGGCGGGCCTTTGCAATCCGTTGTGACACTTCATCTCCAACACCGCCACCGGCAGTGATGCAACTCCCTAGATACGTAAAGCAAGGGGCTTGCTCCAGAACATGTCCAGCAATGGTGAGCGCGGGTTCGGACGCCTGCTAATCTCGGAGCAGCTTTATACACGTTCCCGGAGTGAAGCATAAGCCGTAGTTAGACGTCTACATCGCTAAGCGGTCCAAAGCGTTCTGGACGACTTGTGGGTCGTCCCCCAACAAGGCGATATCATCGGCGTAGTCATCATCATCAACAGCAGTACATCAGCCATTTGAACTGATGCTTCGCTGCCATACAACCATAAGGAACTATGAAATAAGGAATAAGAAGAGGGAGAGGAGGGGGACTTACCTGAAAACCTAAATGCCCTAAGCAAACATTCAGGGTCAAAAAGCCTACACCTTGTGTAGATAACATACAGTCAAAAACAGCTGGCTATCGCGCAAAGATAAGGCGGCATCGACGAGACAGCTTCCTTGCGGCTTTCACTG